ATTAGCAAAAATAGCAGAATAGTTTAAAATTTGAATGGTAAAAATCGGCTGAAAATTGTGGAAGTAGTTCTACGGCGAAAAGTGTACGGAAACACCCGGAATAATAATAAAGAATAAAGAGAAACAGGAACTCAATAGTGTGGATGCTTAAAGCATCCACACAATAATAAAGTATAAAGAGAAACAGGAACTCAATAGTGTGGATGCTTAAAGCATCCACACAATAAGGAGAAACAGGAACTCAATAGTGTGGATGCTTAAAGCATCCACACAATAAATAGATGCGTTCGAGCCATTAGCAAATTTGTTGCCGATAACAACTTAGGTGTTCAAGTGCTGTGTCGGGGAGCAATAATTTAATCTCCAGAGAAACTGGTTATTTTTGTGTGACTTTTGAGGCATGTGCTCCTCTGTGCTTTTTGTCAAGTTTGCAGCCTGCTTTATCTTTGCTCCTTTGTTATCTCCTGAGACCTGATGGAGAAAAATAGATATTTTTCCTACTGTGTGCCACGCTGTTCTCTGTGGCTGTTAGCTTTGTTTTTTTCTCCCGTTTTTTTTCCTGCTCATGTTTCAACACATTCTTTTACCCTTTTTTCCCCCCTTTTTTTGGCTTGCCCTCCAGAAACTCACTGGCATTGCAAGCTTTTCAAGCACAGACATGTGGACTCGTGCACGGGTCTGCGTAATTGTTGTAGTTCAGACATGTCACTCTGTGATTTGTCCAGAACATTTTCAAGGCAGGCAGCTGTTTATCCTAGCTAAATGGTGAGAGGCATTAAAAGCTTATTCAGTCAAAAAGGTGAACTATAAAAGGACTACTTCAGCGCCTGACCTCACTAGCTCCCGTGCATTCATCTTTCTTTTTTGCCCTGCTGTCACTCCATCACTCCCCGTTAACGTCTCTAAATTCACTCTGCCCCTGCTCTGTGCTGTTGGTCTCCATAAATCTCCTCCACTGCATTGTGACTAACGTGCCCCGAGGACAGCTCTCTCAAACAGAGCTATTTTATCTCCGCATCGAGCCTCTACTCAACCATATTTACAAACAATGCATCTAATGGCTCTCGGGCCGGACATCCACCTACAAGATGCAGAGCTTCTCAAAGGAAGCATAAAAGCTCAGGAAGACTGAATAACTTTTATCAAAATATGCAGAGCCAGCAAATGGATGCTAAGCACTAGAAGGAGGAGCTCGTGGAGAGGATTTTATTCAAGATATAAATTAAAGCCACCACCATCTGTGTAGTTATTTGTGAATGAGTGAGCATTTTTTGTCAAATATAAGCTTTATTATGTTCTCATGTGACTGATTTGCTTCTACCTGACATCAAGGCTAAGCAAGTGATCTGCTCCAAGTCTACAACTTCTGGCTCCTCTGATAAATTCATTTGGTATAACATGAGTCAAGTTAGCCCTTAATTCTAAGACTTTTGTGAGGGTGCAGGCATTTCTTAGTTAGCAAAGTGGCACCAGCTTAATTCCTGCTTTCACTTACAGTCTCTTTAATCACATTATTGTAATTTCTCACATCGCTTTATTTAAAAGAGTCTTTAAAGGATAAAATATTTGCACACGTCCGCCGCCAGACTTCAAAACAAAGTCAAAAAGAGGAACCACAGCGCTCCGGTTTTAAATGAGCTGCACTCAATATGCTCAGCGTATCCTTTCAAAATTTCCAAATCGTCGTTTTGCTTTTAAACTCTAACTGGCTCAAGACTAAACCGCAGACTCGGAGGTTCACTCGGATCCTCTGCTCGCAGGTTTGTTGAATATTCACAGCCGCTGTCACACGAAAACTGGAGATGTACCTTTTTATATGCAAACTGCGGAAAGCATTTACAAGGACATTAGGGAGGCAATTTCACCGAGCTTTTTAAGGCAGCAGCTTGACACTTAATTTGCCCGTTTCGGTTACAGTAGCTCCCTCATCTTATATATATAATTTACAGTCTGAGGGGGCTTGTGAAGATACTTCTATTTTGCATTTGCTTCGCATTCAATACAGCTTTTCTCATTAAAAAATGATATGAGCTTATAAATTTGGGTAAAAAGTTTAATCTTCAAAACATGTACATAAATTCTAGAATTCTGTAATATACTCAATGCTCTGCCCAGCTTTTGCTTTAATGGCATTGTGCACTTGAGCTGGAATGGACAAGCTGGTGCAAAGCCTGATAACCTGGTATGATTCGATGCTCCATGGCTTTTGAGCTTCTTTTAGTATTCAAGTAGTTCTACAAAGCTTTGAGTTGTGTTGGGCTCATTATCCTTCAGTGGTATGAAGCCTTCTCCACAAAGATGCAAACCACAGAGCGCAGCATGTCATGCTGGAGTGCTACGTCATCTGGAGTTGATGCAATGCAGGTGCGGGTTTGATAAACTGCTTTTTCATCCTCTCTTCTCTTCATACATACACATTTCTGATTGAAGTGGGATTCATTAGCAAATAGGATTTGTTTCCAGTCATCCTCTGTGCAGTGCTGGCACATCTTAGCCCACCCCAAGTATTTGGCTTCGTTTCCCCTCCTGAGAATTGGTTTAGAGACGCATTAATGATCCACTAAGACCACAACAAGACAGATGTTTTTGATAGGACTTTTCTGATAGGGGTCTCGCTTTCTTTAGTTAGCAAATTTATTAATTCTCATTTTCTCAGTGAACAAAGTGTCGTGTATTGATCCTCTGATGGTGTGGTCTCTTTTGGTCTGCCTGATTGTGTTTTGGATACATCTGAGTTCAAGCAGTGTTTTAGCCCCTTTAGAAACATTTGCTCTGAATAACAATCTGACTTCTAACACTTTAGTTAGTTACAATGTCATGTTTCCCCCTATCAAAATACCAATTAGTCCTTGAGCCACAGACATATTTGTACATTTCTGCCCTAGACAAGCACATCAAACCCACCTTAGTATCTTGAAGGACATTCTCAACTGAAGGATTTGTACAAAAGAGCTAAAAATGTTGTAAAATTGCCCTTTAGTTTTATTGCTGACCTTGAAATTGTTACACCTTGTGTTTTTTAATGATTTAAATGTAGTTGTTCTCAGCTTTGCATGAAAATATCACAAATTTCTGATGTGATTTCAAAGTGGATTCTACTACAAATATTACTATATTCTGCTGAACTAAACAAAAACTGGTGCTAGATTGTTAAACAGTGTCTGACAAACACTCCTTATTGGAGAGGTTAAGCTGTGATGAGTGAGGCTCTAGAGAGGAAGTAATATTTCAACACACAGGTTCTTTCTAATCTCATCTTTCTTAGATGGTTTCTAAGTTCAGTTAAGTCCAATATCACTATCAGGACAATCCCTTCTTTTAAAACACAGCTTGTATGCACAAAAATGACAGTATGACCTCTTCAAAGTCTGATCTGTACTCACTTGAATTATACAAAGTAGTTTTGGCCTTAATAATGATGTTTCTCCCTTGTATGAATGAATACATCACAGCAGTGCTGTGTTTTATCTGTGGGATTTTCATATATTAATCCAATAAACAGGCACACTACCACCCAAGTTAAATGCATTTCATTAGCTCACCTGGCTCTGGAAAATCAGTTCGGCTCTCTTCGGCCTGTGGAGGCCCACAACCTGCTCGAGTGCACGCTCTGAGGTCGAAGCGGTAAAGGCTGTCCCCCTTTAATCCCTGAAGTGTCCAATGGTTGGTGTCAGCCCCGGTAATGTTGATCTCTTTGGAATCAATCACCTCGAGTGCAGTCTCATTAACTGTAGACGAAGAAGAAAGATGGTCAGGTCGGTTCACGTGCTGAGAGCGAGCCTACGATGTATCGATGCAGAAAAAGTCATCGCAGCTGGGTCGTGCGGGAGGTTAGCGTAACACGGCTATAATGAGGGTCAGCGGTCGAGGGAAGGAAGAGATGAAGAGATTTTATGCTGTCTCATGAAGGAAGTGAATATAGCAGATACATGTTGTGACAGGTAAGCTGAGGAGGAATACATTATGAGGAAAGAAGAGAGAAGATGAAAGAGGGAAATAAAGAGCTCAAGAGGAGGGGGGGGGGGGCTGTAAACAAGTGGCAGGGCACGGATGAAAAGAGGAGGTGGAGAAGATGAGAAAAGTGAAAAGCAATAGGAAGTGGTAACCGAGCAGAGACTATGAAGGGATTTTTTTTAACTCTGCGTAAAAGGAGGAAAAAATTACAAAAACAAGTGATGGGAAGGAAGACAATGAGGAGGAAGAATGCATAAGGAAGCAGTAGAAGGAAACCAGAAGAGCTACAATCACAAGTAGCACAACATATCACCAAATATGCATTATAGATCAAAGTACAGTATGTGTGCACTGCTGAAAGCAACACTTCTTTTGAAACCTCCCTCAGTGATGCCATTACTGTGCCAATACCGAACCACAGGTGAGAGCTGATGTGCCAAGCCCATTGTACCACTTTGCAAAAACAATGTTTGGGGGTTTTTTTTGGGGGGGG